AGCATCAGAAGCTATTCTTTTGGGGATACTCACAACATGAAAATGCTAAAAATGACAGAGAAATTTATGTCTCTTCTAAAATGATGCTTACTGTCTAACTGGTATTTAGCATTGTGGATTTGTATCTGGCAGGTATCATGCATTAGTAATTAAACTACTATAGATCAAGTATTTGAATGTTTGGAGCCAAATACATGTTTAACTTGCTGGATAAATTACTTAAGTGTATAAACCAGAGAATCCTTGGATCTGAGAGTTAATAGTGTTCTCCAAGATCATCTGGTCTAAACTTGCATTCAAATACATTTTCTTGAATGACATCCATCCTCCTTGTCAGAACCATTCAGACTATGGACACCTCCCTGGACAAAAAATTCTGTATTTTGGAGTCTAGCTCATTCCAGTTATAGGCTGCTATGAATCCTTATGGAAAATGTCCTTCTGCCACATTGGAATGTTTCCCTGAAGTATCACCCACAGATCCTCACTCTCCTCTCTGGAACTTCCAAATAGAACAGTGTAATGGAAATAGCATTATCCTGTGAGTCAGGAGAATCAGGATGTAGACCAGATTGGCCTTCATGTGTTGCTTGACATTGGGCAAATCACCTTCCTGCTCCAGCCCTAGTTGCTTTTTCAAAGGAAAGGAATTGGGATGAAACAATCTGATTTCAATGGGTATGTATGCTCCCATCCTTTTACGGTGGTTCTTAAACATTGAAGATGACTATTTCCCAACAGGCTTTTGGATTAATCCTGTTCTGATGACATTTAAAATGGAATAAAGGCTGTTTCGACCCTGTACTATAGAAAGGACACTGTTTAGAAATTAGCTTTCTCCAATGTGTTTGTAGTCAAATGAGTAGGTGAAATCAGATATGCATTTGGGATTAAATACCCAAATTACTGCTCACACATCCTACACTGCAGCACAGTCTAGGCAACTAAGAGTACTGTGCAGAGTCTGTACAGAGTCCTACTTTTCTCCAAATGGACGCATCAAAGCCTACAAAAAGTCGACAAGTTCCAAGGAAGGTGATCTCATTGGATGGAATTTTAATGAAACACCTGTGTCTGGGTTCTCTTAAAATTCCTTTTTTCCTAAGGACATGCTAGTTGTCTTCTTAGTCCTAATGGTTTGATCCAGTTCACAATACACATTTCTGTGGAACTGCTTGGTTACATCTAGAAAAAAAAATGCTTTGTGAATTTTCATGGTGAGAACGGATACAGCAGCATTTAAGCAGCTGTGCCAAATCTGAGCAAACGAATATTTTCTGAAATAGAGGGTGCAAGGAGAAAATAACAGCCATGCTTACGGCAACACATGCCAAACCTGCCCACACGTCAGCAATAATAGACTTCTCGAGTTACTGCAGGGACCCCAGAATGCAAACTGATTTCTTTGAATCCAGCTCAGGACTGAAAGCCTTGCAGTCCAATTCCAATGCAAGGAAATCTAAATTGCGAGAAATCCTAACGTTGTCCTGTTTCCTGATAACTCACTCTCTCTTCTTATAATTACTTTTGTGTCAGCAAGACTACCTTTGAAATCAATCACTTACTATACTACATTTTCCATATTTCTCAAAGTTATAAGAAGGAAATGAACAGAAGTGTGATGACTCTTTCTATAAATAACTTGAGTTTCCAGGGTGGAGATTACCCTCCACTTTGACAGGGAGAGCTATGAATAAAACAGCCAGTAGCTACTGTGGGCTGGAAGATAACTGGTAAATAAAAACAAATATAGCAATGTGGGAAATACACACAGCAGCATGATCTCTACTTGTGATAATATTCCACGCTTGAACATGGAATCTTAGGTTTTGTGTGTGTGTACTGCCACTAACAAGCAAACGACAGTGAAAAAAAATCTCCCCAAAGTAGCCCATGCCATAGATGATGTTGGTTTTTTGTAACAGCAGAAGAGAAGAATTTCCAGCAGGGAGGACTTGGCAAATGTGACACATCCTGTGATGGAGCAAGGGGACCCATGGCAGAGACATGGCTTCCTGGGGGTTCTGGCAGGAAATGGCTTCTGAAATATGCACTTGGTAATTTGTACTGAAATACAATTTCTGATAACAAACCAAAAGGCCTAGCAGCTTTTTACCAGAAGATTAGGTAGCCAAATGTTTATGTCGATTTATTTTGTCCCCTATCAAAATTCATTATATGTAATACACCTGTTTCACCTCCTACTCTCATTAAACACATTTGCTAATTATTATTATTTTTTAACAGCTAGAACTCACCAGGAGACCCTGACAATCAGTCAGTTCATGATAAAGGTCATCTCAGGAAAAAATTTCATGGAGGCTATAAAGGTAACTAAGTTGTTTTCATTGACCAGTGAATTCTGTAAAAACATGAGTTATGTTGATACAACCTGTATTTTCTACATATTTAAAAAAAAAAGAAGCAGAGAGGGAGAAAGGAGGCTAAGATTTGACATATTTTACCATGAGTCTTGTTCAGTAATCAGAGTCTGAGTTCTATCTGATAAGCAATATTTTCCTTTTGATACTCATTTGTCTTTATCCTTCTCAACCCTCACTTGGGTAGACAGCTTTTTAGTCAGCCATTTTCAATCTGCTTTTTCTTCTTTTTTTAACCTCTGTATTCTAATAATTTTGAGTCAAACCCTCACTCTGGGGTTCTTTATTTTGGATCTAGGGGCTCCTATCTGGCTCTCTGGATAATATTTATGAAAGCTAGTAACAGATTTATACCATGGTTGGCTACTTTGCCATTCCATACTGCACTGTACAGCAAGGAAGCTTATACATTGCTGATGATAATGATGATAAAGTTAACAAATAAGGAAAACGAAAACCACATCTCAAGTCAGTAGACGTTACTGAAATCCAAGGAAGTCCTGGGAGATAAACAGGGACTAATTTCTACTACCTATGACACAGTGGTCAGGTTGCAATTTAAAGTGAAGCAAAAAGCTGAAAAATTGTAATTTGGGGTCTAGTACCTACTTTGATTTGAGAAATCTACACATTTAGGGAAGAAACATTGTATCTGTTTACATCAACTAAATAAGGCATAATTCACTCTTTGTGTGTATTCCTCTGTGTGAGTGTGTGCGTGTGTGTTTGCATGTGTAGGTAGGTAGACCTGGTCTATTGTATAAACTAAAGGAACAATGGCATAATCTAAAAACCAGATCATTTGCATTTCTTTTTGATGTTGAGCTTTACTAATGTCACACTAATAAACACACTGAATGGTTACAAACATGACCTATAAGAAAAGACTTTTATTAGTGAAAACAGCATTAAAATTATCAAATATCAACTCCAGAATTTTACCACAATGGTTCAGTTTACATGGAACAATGATGGAAACATACATTGTAAATCTCAGCAGAGAGAACAGACCTCACTATCACTTTTGAAGGCTGTCATGAGCAGTTAGCAGTGTATGACACGAGCTAGTATAGAAATAGATTGTTCACGAACTTCAGATGACTATTCCCTTCCTATAGTTAATTTGAAAGTGATATTTTATATTTCTAATTACATATTCAGACCATCTCTCTGAAGGCCATATTCATGAGCTTTTTAAGTTCAACAAGGAATTTCTCATATTTGATATACTATTGAATCACCAGAGTTTCTATTTAGCCAGCGTATACAAAAGCAAACTAAGGTGGAAGTCTGAGTAATTCTTTCCTGGTTCTGGGTACTATAGTCAGCAGATCTAGTAATTATGATTTAATGAAACATTTGAATCTTTTTATTCTCAGTGGCAATTATTTGGCCCAAAGTATTCAAGTGGTTGTCTCAGAGCCCTCCCTCATTTTCCCTCTGCAGACATAGGCAACATCAGGCTAAAAATAATCTTTAAAGAACTAAAAAGTCATAGAGTTTCATACAAGATGGACAATGCAGTTTTCCTTCCTTGAGTAACCTTTCTAAAATGCAATCTTGTCAACCAGTGAGAAGTAAAACAAATTCAATTTAAAATTAGACTAAGATCAGTTTTGTACACAATAAATTATTAAAATTTATTTGGCCTCCCATTTGCTTTGAACAAAGGACAGAGTCCCCAGCAAATCTGAAATTGAGGGTTAACAGTTGAACTTGAGATCTGTTGCCAGTAATTCCCGGTGAATGAAGCCACAAACAAGATATTTTAGTTCAGCCCATCTGATCATAGTGACTAATAGACTGAGCACTTGAAATGAAGCTAAACCTTTGATACCCCTTGTCTACATAACTGAGTGGCTGGGACCCAAACCACTGTTCTCACTTGAAAAAAAGAACTAAAATAGGTCTCTCTGTCACGTGATGCATTTCCCGTGATACACAAAACATTTTGTCCAAAAGTACTCATACATGCTATCTATACTGCTCACATCTTCAGCATAGCTGGTTATAGAGCCAGGCCATAGCAACGTTAATGTTCTCTGTATCCCTCTGTCTTTTTATCTCTTCCTGTAAGAAAACAGTTTATTGGCCAGTTTATAATCTTTGTGGCCTTCAAATAATGCAATTTGTTCATTTGTCTCAACCAAATGATGGAATGATGATTTTGGTCATCTTTGAAAGAACCAAATAAGAGTCAAAACCAATCCCAGAAATGGGTAACTAACCAATCAAGCTGGCCATACATGATAGAGGACCCGAAGTTTTCTAAAAGTATTGAAACAGATAAAGATTGAATGTTAATATTTGCTTATCTGCAATTATGTCAGATTCCAACTGATTCAAGGCAATGGGGAAGAATCAAATCGTGTTGACCTTGGCCCTGTCTGGCTCTTCTCCAAAGAGGATGCCAGTGGAAAGGAACTCAAATTGCAAAGATGATCAAAAGGAAAAGCATCTCTCCACACAGATTTAGCAATTACATTTAATACAAAGAGCATTCTAAAGCTCTGTGTCTTACCCTCAAATCTGGGTGAAAAGATCACTTTGATTACTGCTTTATTTCTTCTGAAAAATAATGGAAAGATAAATATATTGAACAAAGTGTGGCTTCAGAAATACCATTGTAGCAAACAATTTTTATTAATACTTTCATAAAAATGGCATTTAATAAAGTCTTCTAATACCTTGATGCTATTAAAAGCAAACAAAAGTCATTAAAAACAGTTCCTTTCTGTGATTTACATTAGCTTTTATAGCCTTACTTGATTTTTGTCTTAGAAACTAATGTAAATAATAATAATCAAATCAGGGTAAAAACAATACAATGTGTTTTCTTTACTTTATTTCAAAATAGTGATTATAAATACATTCTTCATATATTTTCTCCCCAGCTCTTTGGATGCGACAATAACACAAAAAAATAATAACTCACTGTGCTCATTTCATACAATGACAATGTACAAATTCATGCAAAAGATATAGATTAATATTACTGCCATATATTTCTAGATGTCTTATTATTTCTGCAATACCTGTTGATGTTACTCATGAGGCCATGCCCTGTATAATGTATGCATCCTTGTGGCTTAAAGAAATTAACTGTTTTTCTAAAAGCAATGAAAGAAAGCTGGTCTTGAAATGATTTTCTAATTAATATATTTATTCGGTTTATTTTTCAGAATGGAAAACTAAATACAGAATACAAATTGCCTTATAGACTGGAATCACTGTATTTTAATAGCTGCTTTTTCATAAAATTACACAAAGATTTCCTTTTAAAGAATTGAATCATCTTTATTGATTTCATAAAAAAATAATTAAAACTTGGTTTATACTCCACAGACAGAATATATTATCTCCACCCCTTTACTGATTTCATATGATCTAATTTCCTCTGCCACCATTCTAACAGAGTCCAAGTACATGATACAATGCCAAGAAGCCCATGATGTGTCAGACCACATTAGAAATGAGCACTTCTTGGATTTTTTAGATTTGAATCCAATTCTACTAAAAACGCTGTACCAACATATAGATCTTTCCTTAAGGAGTTAAAGTAACATCAAGGTTATAGTTGAAACCAACAAATTGTAGATAACAGTATTTTAACTGCTCTTGTACTCAACTCAAAACTTATGCCTAACTACATTATCATAAAATGTACAAGTAGAACTAATGAGAGACAGGTGTAAAATTGTATACATTGTATAATGTAGGCACAAAGACTTTAGTTCAGGAAAAGAGATCAGCCTTAACCAAGGATTTGTTACTGTCATTCGCTTATAAGTGGAACTTCCAAATAACCACATACATTAAAATTACTTTTTTTTGGAAAACATGAACATTTATTCCTTTCAGCAGAAGAGTATGAGATAGCCAATATGCTACAGCAAGCTTCGAGATGGAGGCAGGTACTCTTGCCATTGACAACTGCAAAAACCTTGAAACCTCTTCAAAGTATCACCACACTGAATAAAAGGCATCATCCCAACGACCTCTTATCCCCAGCTCATAAATAGAGCTTTCAGGTTCCTCCCATGAGCATCTACTTAGGATTCCTCAAGTCATACTTTATTGACAGGGTAAACTAAAACACTTTCTTTGCAGCCTTTGCGTCTTTATCCTGTCAGTACACGATAGGAGCCCTTTAATCCATGGATGCATGCAAGCATGGTTATGGCATATTAAAAGTTCTTATGAAATTGTAGATGCAAACAGGCTGTTGGGCACACATCTTCATGTCTTTTCTTTCAAGATCAGAAAGCAAGTATTTGTTTATATATTTTTAATACTCATATAAAGTATTCACAGACATTGTCATGAAAATTAAAATTACACATTAAAGTTTTAAGAGCACCAGCACATACATATGGAGACAATTTTTTTTTTGCTATTTAAAAAAAATCTCCAAATAATCTATATGTATGCATGTACACCCAAACACACACATACACACAAACACCTCCAAGAATGCCAAGTTGTTTGTTTGTTTGCTTTTTATATATCTTGCAACAAACACATAGAGCCCTGGAATTAGTCATTAATAAGGAGACTGCTGTTACAACTTTAATCATAATATCATTTTAGAAGCTGCACCAAAACACCTGCCACTTTAAATTCATGAAGAATGCCTATATTTTACCTTCTTGGTCATCTTACTGATCAATACAGTAATTATAAGAGATGGAACACGAATAATATACAGGCCAAGAAGGCAATGTTTCTCAGGATGTCCCTTTGCTAATTGGGAGAGCCTAAAAATATTAAAATAACTCCCATGATCAATTGCTTCCTTCCTTTGACCAATTTTGACTTAGAAGTTAACAGCACAAGCAAACAGAGTGGCATATCATTTGTACTTGCAGACTGTGAACTCATCTGAGACCAATGAAAGCATTTTACAGTGTGGCTTTCACAGCCGTGGATTACCATGATGTTTACTGTTCTACTTGATTATCTGATAGTAGTCAGAATGATGAAAGAACAGGATATGATGCATACGAGATATAACTATTAACCTTATTCATTATTTTTTTAAATATTTGTAGTGAAAACTATTTGAATTCAGCTCATAGAATCCTGAAAAGCAAGACAAGTGATGGCAAATAATTGCCTCAGACACAGTCTATAAAACTAAGGAACCTATTTTAAAATGCACGGTTGGTAACAAATCTGAAGATAATATGCTAAATTCTCAATGATAGCACAGAACTATTTTTTTATTTTTGTTTTTTTTTGTGGTTTTTTTTTGTTTGTTTTGTTTTTAAATGATATCTGACCACAATGTCCAGAATATTTCTGTACACATAAGCTTCAGTTTCAGTTTGGTATATTTTTGCTGTCTAAATGTATACTATTGATAAATTCCCTGTGATCAGGAAAACAAGTCAGGCATATTAAATACAGATTAAGGAGTACATATTTTTCTATTTAGTATACAAAGTACTTCATAAATATGAATTATGTTACAAAAATAGCTTTGGGTGCGCTCACACGGTAAGCACTTTGCTAATTTTGGACAACCTTTAAGGATTGTGGGTATTTCACATAACTGAGAACAAACTCTAATATTAGTTGAATTTGAGCCATGTTTAATTCTGATAAACATCACGTATTTCTTCAGATCACCACAAATGCTAGGTAACTCACGTTGATTTTTTTTTTCTCTTTTAGGTTTTATGTCTAGACAGGTAATGCTTAAAGTGTTCAAATTTACTTTATAGTTATGTAATGCATGGTATATTTTAAACAAATATTTGCACAATTTAACATTATAAATCCAGCGGTTTCAAGATGCAGGCCATAAAGTTTACCGATTTACAAATACTGTCGAATGTTCTCTCTTGGCATGCTTTTTTTTTTTTTTAACTTTTCAGAGAATCTTTACACAAAGTTGTTACAATGCCACAAATCAAAAGGAGTATTCCAGTTCCACCAACTGAATCGACGTGCAAGATGAAGGACCCAGCTGAGGTACAAACACTGGTACCAGTTTTCTTGAGTTTGTTTTACAGAGCACAAAGAGACGAAGGTTTTGCATTGGGGTACAAAACAGATTTGCCTCTTGAGGTTAAATTCAGTAAATTATGTATATAAAGCATCCCTTTGGCAATAGAGTTTGCAGTATCCCCACAGGACTCCACAGTATAGGTTTTATGTAGTAAAATCTATTAAGGAAATTCTCTTCTACGGGACACATCTTTGCAGCTACAGTTAATGAGACACCCTTGGAAACACCTGTCTCTATGCCTATTGATAATATAGTATTTGGAAGTGAGAAGTCAACAAAAGGCACTTTCATCATTAAATAAATGTCCTCTGTAGGAAGTAAGATTGCATGACCTAGATCTTGTTCAAAGCTGTCTGCTCTTCAAGGACCTGTAGGTAGTCGGGGGAACTCTGGAGTTTTGCCTTCAGTTCAAAGTACTCGCTGCTCTTCCTTTGCTCCACGACAATTTTACTGTGGTTGCCGCCTATCAGTGACTTCTTGCTTTTTTTGTCTTGTTTCTCCGGATAGCGGATCTCGAAGCCACTGACGCCTATGCTATTGTACTCCTTTTTGCTTTCGAGAAAATTCTGAATAAACACATTGGAATCCCTGCTCGGGAATAATTCATCCAGCTCATCGATGGTGCTTAGCCTTTTCCTGGAATCCACGTGCAATACATCTTTTTCCTTGTCAGTGACATTTCTCATCATGACTTTCTGGCCTGGAGGATCGGAAAACATGAACCCGGTTTCAGATTCTTTCAGGCCACAGGTGTGGCTCTTGCTCATCTGTTCTATGGTTTGCGGAATGAACGCTTCCGTGCCCAGGCCGTCTTTTTTGTTGGTTTTGTGGTCATGTTTTCTCAGCTGCAGCTGCATGGAACCGCACTCAGGGTTCCCCAGGCCTTCATGCTTCACTGTGGGTTTCTTGTTTCGTCTCAGCACAAAAACAAGAAGGCAAAAAGCAACAAACACAGTTAAGATGAGGACCACTAAGATGCTTAGGATCAAAATGGACAGAGGCACTGGACCACCAGGAGGACTTCGAATGGGCCCCAGCGGGGTAGTGAAAGTAATGGCGGGTGCAGGGCTCGTGAAGGGTGCCGATGGCTTGTTTAAAAGCTTGGGACACAAGATTTCGTTTTTGAGGGACTTCAGTTCGATGTTGGCAAACTGCACAGGTGTCTCACACTTCAGTTCTTTCATGACAATCCCATCGTTCAGCTTCTCCAGCCACAGCTTTAATGCCACCAAGTCACAAGTGCAGTCCCATGGGTTGCCCTCCAGGTCGATCTGAGTAAGAGCCTGCAGCTGATCCAGGACACCACTGACAGGCAGATACATAAACTTGTTGTTCCTCAGGTTCAGTCTAGCGAGGGGTGCTCCAGAGAAAATGTACACAGGCAGGCTCTTTAAGAGATTATTGTTTAAGTACAGCAGCTGCAAGTTTGGCATTGAGTCAAAGGTGCCTGCTAAGATTTCCTTAATTAAGTTGTATTCCAAATATAAATACTGCAGGTTATGAAGGCCTGAAAAGATCTCGGGATAGAGTCTCTCGATCTGATTGCCGTTGAGATAAAGCCGGCGTAAATTCGTGAGGTTGCGGAATACGTCCCCCTTGATGGCGGTAATCTGATTGCTGCCTAAATGGAGTAGATCCAGTCCCTCGAACTCGCTGAAATCAGAGATGTCCACATCTTTGATGCTGTTGCCATTGACGTGCAGCTTCTTGGCATTTAACGGTTTCGGTATCAGCTCTGACATGGACTGGATGTTTTTCTCTTGGCAGTTGACGCTCAGTCCCAGATCGGAAGGGTGGGTTTTGCAGAAGCAAGGTGCTGGACAAGGTGTAAGAGGAGGCACCCTGGTTTGGTAAGACACGATCTGACTGAGATTGCGGTTAGAGAGGGCTTTGCCGGCCACGATTCCAGAGATCTTGGATGGATTTGTTGTTTTCGGTGCTTTGGTCACTAACCTGTGTAAAGATGTTTGGGTGGTGTGACCGTTCGGGGTGGTGTAGCCATTTTCCAGCTGAGAGGGAGGCAGGATTCGCACATCAAAATCACTGCCTGTGCCCATGGGGCATAGTTCTTGCTTGTTGGTTTCTTTTAAAAGTCTTCCGTATAAGTCACTGGGCGTTTCACAGATAGCTTCACCTATGTAAATGTTATATGGCATATTCTCCAGCCAAGCTTTTAAAGGCAACAGATCACAACTACAGTTCCAAGGGTTATCTTCTAGTTGCAATTCGACCACACGGCCTATGTGTTCCAGAACTCCGATATAGGGGAGCTTCTGGATTCTGTTCCCTCGGATATCCAGATGAGTCAAAGATGCGAATCGGAAAATATTATCAGGAAGGAAGGAAATCAGATTGTCATTAAGAATGAGAACTTTCAGTTTGTGGAGCTTATTGAAGGCTCCGCGTTCAATATACTTGATTAAATTGTAGTCAGCCTGGAGATACTCCAAGTTCTCAATGCCAAGGAAAGTGTCAGCTCGGAGAATCTTTAATTCATTGTTGTTCAAGTGCAACTGCTTTAATGCACTGAGCCCAAGGAAGGCTCCTCCCTCAATGTTCTGCAGTTTATTATTTCCCAGCTGCAGGGACACTGCGTGTGAAAAATTCAAGAATGTGTTTGGGTAGAGGATATTTAAAAAATTGTTTTGGAAATTGAGGTGATAAAAATTGGACCAAGGGGGTTTCAGCTGATTTGGCCTGTAGACTGAAACCTTCTCACAGTTGACATACAGCACATTCTCAACTGACACGCAGGAACACACATTGCAAATTTCCACCGATATGTCAGAATCTGCATTTGTCGAAGAAATCAGGGCTGACAAAATCAGAAAGAGCCAAAGAAACATCTTCTTGCAATCAGCAAACAACTTTATGCTTCTGAATAAAGAGAAATAATCTAAAAAATAAAAAGAAAACATTTTTTTCAATGATCGTTACTTGAAAAAGAATTTGTGCTTAAACCCTACCACAGTGAACACATGGCTATAATAATTAGCTTTGTATTTTTAAGACACCCAAAACTTCAAGTATTCTCACTCAGTCCAACATGAACCACCAAAAATACCATACATTTTATTTCTGTGCCTGTAGTTGATACAAATTTTACATGTGCAGAACACACAGCAAACAACAGGAAAAAAAAAAAAAAGATTGCTGATCATGGTTTAACGTGAACAATCTGAAAATAGCATTTTTTAAAAAAAACTTGGACCATCAAATTCCACCCTTGAACTCAGACCTCAAGCTTCTATTGGTAACTCTAATGACTGATCCCAGAACATCAACTATACCACATAGTTGTTAGCACCAGGAAGGAATTTCTATCTGTAAATGTCTACTCTCAAGGCTTCAGCTTGGTAGGAAGCCAGACAGAGGAGATATTAGGGCCTTGGGTTCCATGAAGGATGGCAATGGGAGTACTGAGTTGTTGCAGAGGGAATGGTCAAAAGATCAAAGTGGAAGAAACCCTGGAAAGATACGTGCCTGAGCTTCAGCCCAGAGGTAAGCACATTGCCATGAATCAGTTCACGCCTGTACACTGCTCTACACTGTGTTTAACACACACACACACACACACACACACATGACCCTGAGAGGGTTTAGCAAAATGACCAAGTAGGAAATGGCCGAATTTTGAGTATCAGGTAAATAAACAGTATCCAGTTTCCTGTCAGTCATCTCCCAAACAAGGGAGGAAAAAAGGCTTTTTTGTCTTTGGGTCCCAGAAAGCAGGAAAGAAACCTGCTTGCCCCTATGCTGCCTACCTGATGTCCAGACAGCCTCCCCACTCCCCCAGAACTGGCTTTCCTGCCTTCCTGACCCTCTCCCATTCCTCTGTGTGATATCTGAACCTAGGGCTGACTGACACTTGGCTCAGATGCTGATCTCCTTCACTTGCACCACAGACTGCCACTGCTGAGGAAGAGGGGTTCACACACTACAGTCCCTGGGAGGCTTTATCTGCAGCACCAGATACATTTAGCACAGCCAATGTCTGCCCTCAAAGTCATCAGTTCCCAAATACCTCACTCCAAATATTACCACCCTCTGTCCCTGTCTACAAACAAACCAAGAATCACTTAGTGGAGTTTCATGCTTAGCAAATTAACCCGTGGCTGCCAATTCCGTCCACACTGTATGCATGTACAAATATATGCGATGCTTCATGGAAAAGATTAAAAGAAACAGCGAGCACTGTGCATTTTACCGATGCAGTTTTACTCCTGTGAGCCTCCTCCATCTCAAATGGGAAGCTGGCCGGAATTTCAATATGGTTACCATCAAATATTAATTAAATAAATCAATTACTCAGGAACACACAAGGAGGAGAATGATACAAAGAGAGAAGTGGCACACAAAAATTCCTTTGTTTATTTTGCCCGCGAGGAAGCAGCGAGCGGCAAAAGCAAACGTGCCTCAAGGTAGACAACTCCTTAGCTGTGACCCACGAAGGTTTGCATTTTGAGTAGTTTGGTTCAGAATACAGCCGGCACTGCCGAGATGCTCCTTGGCTGCCATATAGATGAGCATTTCCTCAGTTCACGGTGATAGCTTAATTGGCAGTGCAAAAAGAAGTCATAATTTCAAAGTATGACATCATCCAAACTAACTTTCATGGTAAAACCAAAATCTCACATGCTTTCTTGGCCTTCCTACAGATCTGGTTTTCAACAGCTACTCTGCTTCCTTAGTGTCATTTCTTGTTACTACCCCCCAAAAAGAAACGCTAAAGCAACCAAACCAAACCCAAAACCTGAACACCTGAATTCAGTACAAAACATAAGAACAAGGAGCATCAACAGGCCTGAAATTGCATAAGGAGCTGTCCTCCTTGTAATTTCTACTTTAAGTAGCAATGGGGGTGCGGGGGGGGGAGCGCAAGGACAAGCTAGAAGTTCCCAAACGCAGCTCGCGTGAAACAGAAGCCGCAGGCGGCTGGAGGATCCAGCACGGGAGAAGGGGAGTAGAGCCGCCGAGGAGAGAAGGGAAGAAGGACCGAAAGGGCAAGAGACCACGGAGAAGTGGAGAGATTAAGAAAATGGGCTAAGAGAAAGGAGCTCCCCCCTTCAAAAAAAGGGGGGCCGGAAGGGGCAATGAATGTAAGCAAAAGAAACCTCATATTCACATGGTACCACTAAAACCTGTACATTTTACAATCGGGGCGGGGGTGGGGGGAAGGGAGGCAAAAAGGAAAAAGCAAATCCACAAAGTGCAAGCTGAGTACCAAAAGCCATCTCTCGGGGTGACAAGGGCGGCCCGTGTCTTTATCCAGCTCTCCGTCTCTCGCTTTCCCTGCCCCGCAAGACACCCGGCTCCCACGGCCGGCCAGGACTGCACAAACCTAGCCTTACCACAAATCCGGCATCCACCGGGGCGCCGCGCCTGGTGCTCCGCTTCCGCGCGGAGGGACCAGGCCTGCAGGGGGCCGACGACCCGGGAGGGTGGGCCGAGGTGGCTCCCCGGGAACTGGCCGGGGAAACCTCCGCCTGCCTGCCTGGGGCGCGCGCGTGTGGGGGGCTCCGCGGAGAGACGCGGTCCACACCGCCCCGGGTGCGCTACCTCGGGCCGGCAGCGACGCGGCTGGAGGGGCCGCCGGCGATGGCGCGTACCGCAATGTTTTGCCGCATCTCGGTGCCCAGGGCCGGCACGCAGCCCCCTCCCGGGTCCCGGGCTCGAGCGGCGGCCTCGTGGGCCGTGCAGCGGAGGCGGGGACCGCTCGGGATGTCGCGGGGGCCTTCAGTCCCGCTGCGCACACATCTCTCCGCGCGCTCCCGTCCCACCGGGGCAGCTGCCGGAGTTTCCGTCGGCCTCTAATAGACCCGGGCGTGCGGTGGTTGAGGGGGAAGAGGTGGCCGGCTCGGGCCACGAGGGTGATAGCTACCAGGGCGTCACTGGCCCGCTAGCCATAGGCAGAGTGACCCCGTGGCTCCTTGGCCGACAGCGGCGGCCCAGGCTCCCCCTCGCGCGCCCACCCCTACCCCAGCCCCCACACCGGCCAGCCACAGAATGCTGCTGTCACCAAGCCAGAAATCAGCTCAACATTTGGGCATCTTGCAAAGTCGCGCTGCCAGCGCTTGCCCGGCTTTGCAGGGTTTTTGGAGTTACCCACCGGCTTCTCTCGTATTCCCTGTCTTGCGGGATGCCAGCAATCTCCGATCGGCTCGCGGGCCACTGCCCGGAGCCCCAGATTCAGGTCCGCCTAGAGTGCCTGAGAGGGGATCGAAAAAAACAAAGCCCAACCCGGCTCAGCGGCCCCGACAGCCCACATCGCCGTAGACCAGGACACTTTCCCAGTTGCCCCGGCCGCCCGGGGGCGGGGTGTGTGGGGGGGGCAACGATGCTAAGGACCCAGCACTCTTTCGGCCCTCGGGGACTTGCCACCGCGCGGTGGGCAGGCAAGCGGGGAGCGCGTGGGAGCGGGGAGGTAGCCACTACGGCCGCTTTGGCCACTCAGCTCGCTCCAAACCAACACGACCCAAACTAAAAATAAGAAGCTACCTGCCCCCCTCCACATGCACGCGCGCGCGCACACACATAGACACACACTCACGCGCGCGCGCGCGCGTTGCCGAGCCGAGCTGGGGAAAGAGGCAGCGCGTGTCTGTGCAGCCCCAAGCTGGAAATTCACCCACCTCCGGACCCCGGCGGCTCTCGCCGGACCCGCCGCGCCGCGATCCGCGCTGCAGTTTCCGCGATGGTCTCTACGTGATCCGGGCTGGAGCTCCTCGGCGCCCGCTCGCCCGTCAAACACAGCGAGCGACCCTCGCAGGCGAGCAGGAGGGCAGCGGCGCGCACGCGCGCACCCAGCCAGACACCGCGCGCGCACCCAGCCCCTCGCACACCGGCTGCACCTTCACATACAAGCGGCGAATCCTCACCCCCTCTTTTTTTCCTAAAACACCCCCTAGGGAAGAGCGACCCCTTCTTTCCTCACGCACAGAGACCCCAGTCGCCTAACGCGGGCGCGTTAGCCTCCATCCCCCCACCACATACACGCACACTCCAGTCCTTTCTCCTCCCCCAGTCCCCTAAGAACCGAGGCGCACACACACACACACACACACACACACACAACCGGGGCGTTCCTTTGAGCGAGCCACCAACAACCCCGGCAAAGCCCAAGAAACAGCGGAGAGCCGGGGGGAAGGCAGGGGGTCAAGGGAGGTAGATAGGGGCGTCGAGTCTACGCGGAATTGAATCATTCCAGGATCGAGGTGGGGGGGGGGGGGGCTGAGTCAACAACAATGACATTCAAAGGCAACAATCGCACTTGGGCTTTGTATCCCGGGTACGGTACCTTTGGCTAATTGTCACCCTGCAGAACAGAGGGCTCCGGGAATACTTCTTCGGTCGCGGGCGATCCTGGATGGAGCCTTCTCTGGACCAGTTTCCTGGGAGCCAGTAGTGTTCTCACTCCTACCTGTCTGCGCGTAAGGGGCTGGGGGCTTTAAGGCAAAAGTGTGAAGCTTTAGCCCAAAGTGAGACTGTTTGGTGGGTTTAGGAGACGCGTTAATTCTCCGCACCTCAGAACCCTGCGAACCTTAGGTGTGGAACGGGTTACGCGGGGTTGATTAAGGGGTGGGGAGAGGGGATAGGGGAGAGGAAAGAGGTGTGGGACTAAGAGAGATGCCGCACTTGCGACCAAAAGAAGAAGAAGAAGAAGAAAAAAAAAAAAACTGCTTTGGCTACTGAGCATGCCCAGTTCCCAGCTCAAGCCCTATAAGGGAGGCATTGTGTGCAATCCACTTCTCCGGGCTTTGGTGGTGACCGGGAGGGGACTTTGGTTCGGGGAGGGTGGCGGTGAATGGGAGACTTTAGGGAAGGGGGACAAGGTTTGGAGTTTGGGGGCTGCGTGGAAGGGTCTGGTAAGAGAAAAAGGAAAGAGACCTCTGGGATACCTCGGGGAGACAGAAAAGGAGATGAAATGGACTAAGAAAAGTCACTTCAGTAGCCCCGTCATTGTCGTGTCTATACCGGAGAGGCTTTAGGATTTAATCTCAGCTATCCGGAGGTTGCCAACCCAGCGTGTGTACGGGCCAGGCCCCATTTGTTGGTGCTGCCACAGGAGGTTAGGGCTGTCTTGAGGCCGGGCGAACGTGTAAACCAGTTTCATGCAGATTGGTAATTCAGTTAATAAGCTTAGAAAGCAAGCACTGGAACCTGTGGGCCTGGGGCGGGGGCGGGAATGGGGGGAGAGACGGTATTTCAAATACCTGGCTTTCCTAACCAGTAAAGGCTAAAACGGTAGTTTTTCTCCCCTTCCCCCAACCTTGCAGTTTTTGTAGATGCTCCTCGGCTAAGAAAAACAACTCTCTCTCTCTCTCTTTACTTTGTGTCGGTGGAAATAAACTGGCTTTAGGTAAATAGAGCTAAGTTATAAATGGGAAATATCTCCCCAGGACCTTCCAGGCAACACTGCAGGGCCGATGTCTTCAGGACCCAGGTTCTGCCTAGTCCACTTATTCACATTGCAGTAGCTCCACCCCCAATACGATATAACCAGTACCCAGAAATGCTTTTGCTTAAAAATGAGAAACTCTTTAAAACTAGCAATAGCTTTGAAACCAGAATTTGGCCGTCTGCCTGAACTCCTACAGTTAAACATTTACCATAATAGGTTGATGTTTAAAGGCCTCAAATCTAGACCAAAAAACCCTATGAGCAAAGAATTTATTACATTATTTGTGGATACTCTCTTACCTTCTGTATTATCAGTAAGATCTATTCATATATGTTTCAATTTTTTTCACTTGTGTCATTTCTTGGAGACTGCCTTCGTGATATAGTCATGCAAATGTTTGCTGGACATGGCCTGTATACACAGATGCACACACACTGTTAAAGTGAAGATTTAAACAGATATGGATGTAAAGGCATATTTCTTTATGAACTTGATAAATGTTGTATCGTTCATAAAGAACCCTTTCTCCACCCCCACTCTCCATTGCCCTTAAACTTTTCATCTTCTTCTCTTTTAAAAACAACCTGGAAGCAGAAATTGAGTGGGCAGCAAAGGTAAAATGTACTATATTCAATAGTAAAATATGTTATGAAATAGCCTGGCTTAAGAAAACAATAAAGGATCCATCCAGAACAATATATGCACTTGTACAGCTCTTCTTAGTAAGGTGAAATTTGTTTCCTCCATAGGTAACAGCTGCACTACGTTGAAAAATCCCTCTACTGTTGTACATTTGAACAAAATACATCCTGCTAATTAATAACTCACATTTACATTATATTGTATAATGCAATTTGAAAGTGGTAATGTATACCAAAACAGGTTGGCATTTATTCTAGATGCAAAGGATTCAGGAAGCTACAATATATTTTATCAGGATGGGGGAATTGTTTGTCCTTTACTATAAATGTTAACAAGATTCAATAGAATGAGCAAAGAATTTTACCTGAAAATATGCACATTCCAAGTCCTGTGATAGCTGAAAGGCCAGATTTGGACAGTAAATATCAGATGACTTAAATGTCTATCTTTATTTAACTTCAGAAACTGTTCTGAGAGTCAACTATATTTGACTGCAATAACTGTGGAATGTTCTTTTTTATATATGTATGGAGACAGAAGTCTGAAAACAAGTACAACTAGAATATCAATAAATTGCAGTCAATAATAGTACTAGGAACTTATGGGTGACTAATATCCAGCTTATTAAAATGAATGTTTTAATATAAAATAGTTGGCTGTTTAAAAATGATAAAGGGGATACTCATAAGAATAATATAGAAGTAACAGCTTCCATTCCTTCTGCTTTTTTTTTTTTTTTGCTTTTAGAATAGTTAAAAAACCCAGTCCTTTAGCCCTGCAGTCTCTTTTCTGTCTCCTAGAACTACACATGATAGCCATATAGGACAATGGTAAACTAAGGGGAATTTCTATCTTAAAAAAGGAAGTAAATATATAAATAAATAAAAGTGTTAAGAAAACTCCAGTACTATTTATGGCAATTGGAAAGAAAAACAAAGTTGATGTTCTTCCCAAAATATATGAATGCAAATGTGAGACAGATTTGTAATCGCCTCATAGTTTTCCCGAATGTGCACCATACTTAATCTTGGCTTTGCAAACATATAACTGGAACCATAGGACTATGCTGACATATCGTGTCTCCCTCCTTCAAGGCAAATAAACAACTGTGCCAGAAATTTCACCAAGCTCCTGGATATCCTCAGTTTCAAAGGCATTTTAGTCAAATGCTTTTAACCAAAAATGATTAGAACACCAATAAAACTTGGCCCTAGTTAGTAGTCTTTCAATTTCATTGTTTTCCTCATTTATTCTGCCTTGTCTTGCTGCTATTTAAAATAAAACAAACCTTCATTTTGGTATCCAGGCATCAATAGATCATTTGGTGTATTTCCATTTCAAAAGTGTATTTATATTCTGACAGTTGAAAAAAATGGTGAACTTAGCATTTCTCTGAGTGGAATCTAAGAAAGTTCTTTTTGTTTAGTCACTAGGTCCTGTCTGACTATTTGCAACCCTATGGACTGCAGAACCCCAGGCTCCTCTGTTCTCCACTATCTCCCCAAGTTTACTCAAATTCATGTCCATTGAATCAGTGATACTATCTAACCATTTCATCCTCTGCCACCCACTTCTCCTTTTGCCTTCAATCTTTCCAAGCATCAGGGTCTTTTCCAATGACTCAGCTCTTCATAGCAGGTGGCCAAAGTATTAAGAGCTTCAGCTTCAGCATCAGTCTTTCCAATGAATATTCAGGGTTGATTTCCTTTAGGGTTAACTGGTTTGATCTCCTTGCTGTCCAAGGGACTCTCAGTAGTCCTCTCCAGCACCATAATTAAAAAGCATCAATTGTTCGGTGCTCCACCTTCTTTATAATCCAGCTCTCACATCTGTATGTGACTTCTGGAAAGCCATAGCTTTGACTATATGGAGTTTGGGCGACAAAGTGATGTCTCTGCTTTTTAATAGGCTGTCTAGGTTTGTCATAGCTTTCCTTCCAAGGAGCCAGCGTCTTTTAATTTCATGGATTCAGTCACCCTCCGCAGTGATTTTGGAGCCCAAAATAAAGTCTATCACTGTTTCCATTATTGCCCCATCTATTTGCCGTGAAATAATGGGACTAGATGCCATGGTCTTAATTTTTTAATGTTGAGTTTTAAGCCAGTTTTTTCACTCTCCTCTTTTACTTTCATCAAGAGGCTCTTTAGTTCCTCTTTGCTTTCTGCCATTAGAGTGGTATCGTCTGCATATCTGAGGTTGTTGCTGTTTCTCCCTGCGATCTTGAGTCCAGCTTGTGATTCATCCACCCTGGCAATTTGTGTGATATACTCTGTATGTAAGTTAAATAAGCAGGGTGAAAATATACAGCCTTCAAAAAAAAAAAAAAAAAAACACTTTAGATATACCTAACCCACTGGTACTCCTTTCCTAATTTTGAGCCAGTTTTCCATGTCTGGTTCGAGAAAGTTCTATTAGAGGATGTTAATAAACTGAGAAGTAAGATTTCTATAATCAGCTAAGTTCAGAAGACTCTTGATTCTATAAAGCTAAACATCTTTTTAAACTTTAGAGTTTCTCAGCAAATTCCATGTCAAAAATTAATTCTGACTTACAAAGGAAAAGGGATAGAGCATGTAGCATTTCTCAAACTTATTTGACAGTGAAAACCTTTTTTTTTTTTCCTTTTGGATCACATATGCTTTGAGAAATCTTGTACTACTTGTGCAACTTTTCAAATTTTATTGAATTTTGGAGCTGAAAGGAAGCTTTCAAATTATAACCTAATCCATACCACAGTAGCTGCTACTGAGTCCCTCTTTTAAGCCATGTTGCCTACAAACGTTATTTCATTTCGTTCTCTGAACGGTGTTACAGAGAAGATTATTCTTCTTTAAAAAATGAGGTTCATGGAAGTTAATTTGGCCTAGGTCACACATTAGTAAATGACAGTCAAGATTTGACTCCAGGTCTTTGAGATCTTCCTGATACTTCACACTCCCTTGTCCACAGAGGGATGAAAGCACTTTTAATTTTGAAAGCTTAATTATTGTTCCCCAGAGATAAACACTTGGGTAAATGTTTGCAAGTATCAAATAATTAATACTTGACACTAGAATAAACCAATAAATGACATGAGAAACAACTGACATCAGTTGCGCATGAAGGGGTCTCTTAAATCAGCTGATTTTACCATTTGCCAAACATGGGCTTGTTTCATCCATTCTGCTCTCTCAACTTTCATACATGAATTGATTCTGAACTTATGATGGTGTCTAAATGGTTCCTTATTAGACACAATTGCCTTTGCTGCTGTCCAATGGAGCCAGGGAAAGCAGTAGTGTTCATCCCTAGGTTTCTCCCACCATTAAAGATAAAAGAACTCTTACCTGACAGGGCACAGAGTTACTTGGAAGAGGTGTTATTATTCAGTCACTAAGTTAAGTCCAACTCTTTGCAATCCCATGGACTACAGCACATCAGGCTTCCCTGTCTTTCACTATCTCCTTGAGATTGCTCAGACTCTTGTCCATTGAGTCAGTGATGCCATCCAACCATCTCATCCTCTGTTACCCCTTCTCCTCCTGCCTTCAATCTTTCCAACATCAAGGGCTTTTCCAATGAATCAACCCTTCACATCAGGTGGCCATAGTATTGGAGCTTCA